AGAGAGAGAGAGAGAGAGAGAGAGAGAGAGAGAGAGAGAGAGAGAGAGGTAGAAAAGCTGGAGAGTCTATCTCAGCTTGCCCAAATCCTCTAATTCAAATCAAAAGGCACATAGTTGAGAAAGTCTTCCTCTCCGCCCTTCTACTGTTGCTGCTCCTCTTCCTCTTCTTCTTTCTCTCTCCCCCTCTGTCTCTCTCTGCCTTCCTCTCTCTCTCTTTCACCTCTCTCCCTTAACTTAGGGCCTATAAGGATAAGGATCAAGACTTCCCAGTAAAGGACAGACATTCTGATCCTCTATCTTCACCTGGAATTAAGACCTGTCACTTTGTCTCTTTTCCACACAAGAGATGAGAATAAGCCGGATTGAGCTCCTTTAGGTAGTTTTAGGTCTACAGGAAAGAGGATATTTCTCTAATTTGCATTCTTTACCAAATGGAGCCATTTCCCCCCTACAATGGATTCTGTTGTATTATCAGCACTTCCAAAAGTTTTATCTTCTCTCTGATCTTTTGGCCCCAGAGGAAATCTCAGTAGGAGCTCCAGTCAACAATCCCTGGGCCCAGTTCCCATCTCCCAAGCCAACCCCAGAATCCGTGACTCTCAGGAGGGAGCGAACCTGCCCAGCCAAACCACTTAATCCCTCCCCCCACCCCTCACTGATTACAGAGAACTTTTGTAACTTTCGTGCAAAAGCTTGAAGAGCTTGTTCTCAACTCAAGGGCTCTAAAATAGAGCAAGGTTTGTCAGGTTTCTGAAACAGCAGCCAGACCCAGGGCAGGTCAGACTTGATTCCTGATGGATTAGGACAGTGTGAAAATTGAGAAATGCACTACCAACTTGGATTTTCTCTACAACGGCCCTCTGAGGCCTGCAGCCTGGTGATGTTATCATTGCCAAGATCTTGGGCAATGACCTCCCACAAGAGTAAGCCACAGCCTTCCTCTACACACTCATCAGTGCCTCTGGGACAATCAGCATTACTAGAGGCCAAGGTTAAGGAGGAGTGGGATTTGATACTTATTTACCCTGTGCACCCCGTGGTGGCACAGTGAGTGAGATGGAGGAAAGGCTGATAAATGTCCCCACCTCTCCTTCCAGCTGGATGGCCCCTCTGTGGGAGGTGGGGTCATTCTGAAAGCAATGAGCACCATCTCTGGTCGTCACACTAGGAATATGCTACTGGGGGTACTGGGTAGAAACCAGAGATGCTGTTCAACATCTTATGTTGCACAGGACACAAAGAATATCCAGTCCCAAAGGTCATTACAGCCAATGTTGAGAAAGGTTGATTAGGAGTTCTCCATTCTCCCTGGTCCAAAATGAGAATCTGTTCTCTATTCTCCCTGGCCCACCCTGCCCTCCCTGACTGCAACCTTCAGCTCCTTAGCAACTCTTCAAAGAGCCCCTGAGGGAGGAACTCACCCGCTCCATACTAGTACACCACCAGAAAACCTGAGATCGAACACTGAAGGGGAAAATAGCCAACCAGCTCTTGCCTAACAATTTATTGGATTAAAATTTGCCCCTGAGATGGGTGTGGTGGTGCCTGCTTGTAGTCCCCGCTACTCAGAAGCTGAGGTGAAAGGATGTCTTTGAGATCAGCCCGGGCAGCATACCAAGAGCCCATCCATTAAAACAAAACAAAACAAAACAAAAAAGTTTACTACTGAATTGACTTGTTTTGGCAAATAGCCTGAAGTAGGGGGATTTAAGTTTATTCATTCATTTTTAAAGCCATGAAGCTTTTTAGTAATTTTTTAAAATTTTACATGTTATGCCAACATAAATAAATCAAATAAAAGCAGGGCCACTGGGGTTGGGTGAGGCTGGAGAAGGGGTCTGGATTCAAGTCCTTGCTGGTCCCCTGGCATGTTTCTGAGACACACTCAGGTTTCCAGCGCTACACGAACATAGTACAGAAGCCAGCTCTTGGGTGACTTCTAAATCGCACCTCCTCCTGGTCTGCTTTGCTTCAGTCAGGCACAGTCCGAGTGCCCCCACCCCCATCCCTAATCTCTTCCACCTGTGAACTCAGGATGCTGACCTCGGAGCTCACTTGGGAACATATATCGACCCCATCTTCAACTCCCCCAACAAGCTCCAGTATGTGACTAATTGACCCCAGGAGGTTAGGTCCCAGCCCAAGTAAAGTCATCAAACTCTGCCTTGACACTTGGGTCTGGATGTTAAGCCTAATATCAACCCCTGCCCTCTACGGCTTCATGAACCAGCAGAGCTGGGTGAGATCTCGACAGTCCTGTGGCTGTTGTGCTTATCACATCTGAGGCATGGGTCCCCCCAAGAAGAGCCTTCACTTCACCCATAAAGAATGGGTCTCATCACAAATCTACCACATCCACTGCCAAGTCCACCTCTGCATCTCCCAGAGCTGAATCCTCGTGCCCAGAGGGGAGTCCAGGTGCCTACTACCTTAGCCCTGGTCTCATTCAGATGCTTGATGGCAGTGACTGTCCCTGTGACTAACCACCTCTTCTTCCCCTTCCAGGAGGCTGCATGTGCTTATGTTTTGATCGTGACCGCTGTGTACTGGGTGTCCGAGGCAGTGCCTCTTGGAGCTGCAGCCCTAGTGCCTGCCTTCCTCTACCCGTTCTTTGGAGTTCTCCGATCCAGCGAGGTTAGACCACTTGTGATCCAGCCCTCAGCTTGGGGCCTACCGAGTTGGTGTGGGAGGGATCCAGGGAAAATGAGATTCATAGAGCACTTGAGGAGGGGCTTTCTCACCCCCTGGGACCACCCTGAACACTGCCTTTGCACCTGTAATTCCAGACCCGGAATTCCCCACCTTCCAGCCCATCCTTGTCTTTCAAACTGGCTCAAAACTTGCCTCTTTCAGGAAGTATACCTTGATTAGACACATCCAATTACATCTTCAATTTGAAACCTCCTAGGAACTATATGATGGGGACCTGTGAATCATCTGTGGCTCATCTTTTCCAGCCTCTTGCTGTCCATTTTTAGAAGCCACACACAAAGCAGGAATCAGCACCCCCCACCTGTTGTATCTCTCATTCAGAAAGCTGAGCCCATAGAAAGTAGGTGTTTGATCAGTGCTTGTTGACAGAGAGGCCTACCATGATTCCCTGGGTCCCCCAAAAAGAAAAAAAAATTCTGTTTCTTCCTCCCCAACTCCAGATTACCATGTGGATTTTCTTTACCCACTCTCTGCCTAGAGTCTGCCCCTCTGTTCACTTCCTGTGGCATTCTCAAAAGTTCAAGCAGAAGTGATCAACATTAAGCTCAGGTTGTAGCCAAATGTCAGGGCAAATGTTTATGCCTAGCACAAACAAGGAAGATGGGAACCAGCCAGAAGAGGAGCAAAACAGATGCTGGCTCTCAGTCATGAACATCTGGTTCCACTTGGGCTGTCTCATCAGGGCCCCTGGTCTCTGCTTAGTGTTCCTGATGAAGAGGTGGGAATGAGGCGAGTCAGAAGCAGAGAAGGGAGAGGAGAGGGAGCGAAGGTTGGAATTGCTAAGAGAATTAGGCGACATTCTAGAAGTGCTGCATTCATTATGGCCCTCCCAGGGCCTCTACGAGGTAGATGTTAATATTTCCAATCTACATGTGAGGGAAGAGGCTCAGGGAGCTGAGAAACTTACCTCAAATCACAAAGTAGGAAGTAGCAGAACTGGATTCAAACCTATACCTATTAGATTGCAGAGTTCACTGTATCGTAAGAAAGACATTCCATAAAGCACTGTGGGACTCCGTGGTGTTATCAGTCCATGGAATTACTACCTAGAACCGTGGGCCTCTCAGTCTCTGTGGTTTGAGGAAGGATGTCTTAACCCTGGCTAACAGAACTTTCTCAAAAGTCCCAAAGGTAGAATTAGGGGAGTGCAAATGAACGCTTTGTATTTCTACTAGGTGAACTCAAGTGACCAGTTTCTGTTTGCTTTGACCTTGGGTTTCTTTTTTTCCTTTTTGGTTTTTGGTGGCATTGAGTAAACAGAGCATCAGGCTCTCTAAAAAGAATAGGATCCCCAAACTCTCAGCAGTACCTTTGTCTCTGGAGTGTACAACCTCAACATCCTGGGGACCCATCTAAAGCTAGTCCGTGACCAGCATCACCAGTGACTTCAATTTTTCTTTCTTATCTAGAATAAAGAATAGGGAAGATGGGTTTTTGTGCATACCTAAAGGAAAAATTGACCTTAACCATGACTTTTCTTAAGAGAAGTGTACAAACTTGTGCTGCAGGTTTCCCTTTAAACTGAAACCAACCCTCAGGGGTAAGGGGAGAAAGAAGAGGGTAGAGGGCTAAAAATGAAGTTTAGAAAGAATGGAATCCCAAGTAACATTCTAATGGAATGACTGTTCATTAAGAGAATTAATCTTTGTCTTTCTCTTCAGGCAGCCCCAAAGCCACGGATTGGCCTTGGCCTTAAAGTAGATGATGTCTTTGTTTCTCTAAGGGCTGCCCACAGTAGGAATCCCCTCCAGCAGCCCCATCAGTCTACAGCAACTTGATGTTCCTAGGCAACAGCTATCCAAGGGTCACCCCTCTACATAGTCAGAGGGCCAAAGGACAGAGTCTGTGGGGGCAGCAGTTGGCAGGGTTAACAGGACTCTGCAGAGAAAAGAAAGAGCATCTTGAGGGATTAGGTGTTGGTACGCTGAGTGCTGGAGGGGTGAGAGGGCCTGTTTTATCATTTGAGATTTAAAAAAACCTAATCCATCCATTTGATATGAATGGCTTTGACTAGCAATGATATTCAGCAATTGGGCTACAGGGAGCAGCTTAGTCCAAATATAGTCTGTTTAACTGACCTTCTTAGCTCAGATTAATGGGAAATGCCAGGAAGTTAGAGGACACGGGCTAGAGTGTTGCATGGGCCAGTTAACTGCAGACAGAGAATACCTGCTCTGCCACCAAGGCTCCTGGGGAAACGCTGTGAGTCCCCTCATCATCTGTGTGTCACGCCCTGAGTCCAGCTCATGCTTGACCAGCCCCTGCCACGACTTGGGCCATGTATCCACTTTAGCAAGTTTTCTCCAGTTTTAAAAATCCTACTCAATTACTCTCTTCGGTAAAGACTTTCCAAAGACCTCAGTATCGATCTCTTCCTTTTGAGCCTATTTGATGTTTTTAACTTTTAGATGGTCCATATCAGACACTCAGACATAAACTTTTGATAGACATGGGCTCTCTCCACCAAGATTCACCACCTCCCACACACCCCCAGGATTTATGATGTCTGACAGCCCATCCACAGCCCAGAGCCAACCCGCATGGCCCTAAGCTCATGGTTCTTGAGCACAGTGTTTGCTGATTGTGTGTAACTAGTGTCATCTCTACATGAAGCCATGGGAACAGGATCAGTGTGGCTCTGGGACTGTGGCTTTTGTCCCTCGTGTTATTCATTCGACATTCTGAAAAGTGCTTCCTGAGTTCTGTATCTGCCATGTGTGAAGTGGGATGGGATGGTACCCAAGAATGACAAAAATGAAGAAAAACATAATTTCTGCACTTTCCAAGCTCATTTCTGGCCCTTCTGATGTTCCCACCCTCTGAAGCTAGACATGGGCTGTAGGGTTCTTCAGAGAGACAGAACCAACAGGGAAGTAGGATAAATACTGATGTAGATAGCGCTCGAGATAGATCCGTCAGGAGGAATTGGCTTGCTCAGTTGTGGAGGTTGAGAGATCCATGACCTGCCATCTGCAAGCTGGACACCCAGGGGAACCCATGGTATCAGTGTGGGACTGAAGGCCTGAGACCCTGGGGAGCTGATGGCGTAAATCCCAGCCCAAGAGCAGATGAGACGAGATGTCCCAGCTCAAGCAGTGAAGCTGGGAAAAGGGGGCAAATCCTCCTCCCCCACCTCAGTGGACTGGATGATGCCATCCACATTGAGGACAGACATTCCAGTCTCACCCAGAAGCACCCCTACAGTTATACCCAGAAACCACCTTTCACCTGGGCACCCCTTAGCCCATCCAAGTTGGCACGTAACTGTAACCATCACCAGTTCATAAAATGGTTACCTTTTATGGTATTAGCTTGTCACCAGCAGGAATTTAGAATCATTTGCAAAGCTTAAAGTGCTTTCTTTCAACAGAAGGTGCTGGGAGGAGATATGAAATGAAGAAAAAAAAAAAAAGGCTCCTGACTTTCAGAAGTTTCTATTCGAGTAGAGAAAAAAGCATAGAAAACGTGGGAAATGCAGAAGGCTCTGCAGTAGTTACACGCTCAAGTGCCCATACTTTGACTTGGCCACTTTTTGAGTACAATCTTTCTAAAGGGTTTTATAATTTCTTTTAAAAGGAAGTAGTTAAATATAAATTACCTTTTTCCTTGGAGCCTTCAAGATTTCTTGGAGGGGGTGGCCACAGATCCTCACTCAAAGGAGGCAGTGTGGGCTAGAAGGTAGCAGAGCTGAGGAGCCTGCGTGCTGAACAGATGACCTAGAGAATCTTGAGTGATGTGTTGGCATCGGCTGCAGAGAGAGCTCAGAGGAAATTTGACTTGGCACATTAGAGGATTGACAGGTGGCTAAGCAGGATGGGGGTGGCTGAGGTATGGTGACAAGAGTCGATGTTGCCTGGATGATACAATCGGCTGAAACTGACAAAATGAAGTTTAATAAGGATACATGTTAGCAGTCGATGTGAAAAGGTCCTTGGCTTTTAGCTGAGTACAGGTTTACTATGAGTCATCTATCAGTACAATGTCACTGCCAAAACGTTGAGCAGTTACCGTATGCCAGCCCCTAGGGGTTGTCATTTACATGCACAGTATCATTTAGTCTTCTATGAAGGAGTTATTATTTTTATCTTCATTTTACAAAGGAGGAGACTGAAGTTCAGAGAGGTCAAGTATCTTACCGAGGTTACACAGCTACTAAGTTCAAGATTGTTTGACTCCCAAACTTGCAGTCTTGACCCGTGGGCAATAAATACCCAAATCTCCTGTTGAATTAACAAATGATGTGACCAGATCATCAAATTCTCTTCAAAGAGCTCATCTAGAGGTGGTTGGCCAGGAGGTAAAAAATCTGGAACCTGAGTCCCTGAGGAATGAAGAGAAGATTTAGGGGGACATGATTTGTGGCTTCTATGGCTCATCACTGGGCTCAAAGTCAAAGTGCCTCATACAGAGTGCTCTCCATTCTGGATAAGGGAAAACTCTGGAATGGGTTAGTTACCGTGTTTGATCCTCATGTTCCTGACCCTGGAAGTTGGAGCCAAATGACCACATCAGGCACACTGCAGATGGACTTTGAGCCTTGGCGGATAGGTTGAACTCTGTGTCTCTTTGACTTTAGAATTCCGTGATCTTTTTGTGTGCATCTGGCACTACTTCCCTCTGCTGCTACACAGAGCTTGGTCCTGGATTTTAGGTTTGTTTATGTTTGGTTTTTTGTTTGACTCCTTTGTGACTCTCATTATTATCATTATATCTGCCTCAAAAGTCCTCTAAATGTGTTGCTCCCAATGTTGAAAACCTGGGCACAACACCCATGTCCATATAGTTAGCTAATATTTACAGTCTATAGGAGAAGAGTGCATAGGTGGGCACCCTAGGGCTCGGGTGGGGGTAGGGGCCAGAAGTAGGCAGGGGCTCAGGACCGCCGTCCAGGAAATCAGGGTCGGGAACACCTTGTGCTGTCT